ATTTGGAAGAAATTGAAGGGGTACCCCTTGGAAAAATCTCGAAAAAATCGAAAATTTTTTTTTATTGTTTATTATTAGCAATGTTCTTCCGAAAAAATGCGTTTCTAAAGTGCATAAACTTTTGGGATTGACTGTATAGCCAATACACCCTTAAACAATCGATATCGTCTTAACATTGTATTTAATGCCGAATGCACGATTCCGAATTCACAGAATTTTGCGACTTTCAGCTATCTTGACACGAGGCAGTAGTTCTGTTATCTTAAAAATTATTATAGATATAGATAGTCACATTTCCATGGCTATAATAATGTTTAACAGCTACCATCAGAAATAGAACGATTTTCATAAACCATAGAAGAAAATGTCATGCATATGTTCATGAATGTCTCATCACCTAAACGACAGACATTTATATTATATTATTTCATGAGAAATTTTATACTTGAACTATCACTCAAACGATGAAGCCAAAAACAGTATAAAAACGTAAGAGTGAAGTATATAAATAAATGATTAATCATGCAGTTATATTCAATCTTAAAAGCTTAGTCTAAGATAATTTATGATTGCACGCAATAAAAGATATAAATTGCATTTTATCTCGTTGTTGAAACGAACTTCATGTTTTACGCATGGATAACTGAAGTGCGATTTGTCTTTTAATCTGAGCACAAATACAGTCGAGTACCTGTTAGTCTGACGGGACGTCCGGCATATGCTTGGCACGTGGTACTTATTCACGTGAACACGAGCTTTTACAGTTTGAAATTCGTCGATGATAACGATGACGATTTGTATTATCACTGTACGTTCAGCTGATACGAGATTATACGTCAACAGAACTAGTTTTCGAAAATTGTACGAGTCAATGATAAGGAAAATTAGACAGGAGGGTAATTAACTGTTTCAGTGTGTGTTATCTCCAGCGAAATTACTTTTAATAGTTTGAGGAAAGTGACTTGAAAGTCATTTTTTTGTAAAAAAATCGTACGCGTGGTGTTTTCAAATAAAGATGCATTTTCAGAATTAACAAACGATTGCAGGTGTATCGATAATTGAAAAAGAATCACCGAACATTCGTATTCTATTTGTTTTTATTGTAGGCACGCAGTAAAAGATAAAAATATAACCAGACTTTCTCAATTGAGAATATAATCTACACGTAGAATCACAGTTAGAATAAAGAGTAACGTACATCGATCCCGATAAATGATTCATCGTATTTCAGAGGTATGATTATTTCTTTCATTACCACGTAAAATGGAACAACTTAATTTTCTTCGACTCAATTTGCTAGATAATTAAGGAATCACTGTAGAAGCCACAATGTACAAAAACTTTTATCGAAATGTTTAAAACCATAGTAATAAGCCATGAATAACTTAAACTGTTATCTTATTGTAAAGTTTCTTTGCAATATTACGAATAACCGACAAGAGATACCCAAGCATTCGCATCTTTCTTGTTCCAAAGACAAAGATTGTTTTCGTTGCAAAGAAAGAATCGATGAGGAATGAAAGAAATAATGATTAAACTGCAGATGTTTATGCATTTATACAAAACTTAAATAATTTGGAGCAAACAGGATAGAATTCAAGAAGAAATACGAATAGATAAGAAGATATCAGAAGAAAATATCTAAAGCAGAGTACGATTTATAATAATTAGAAGAAATGTTTCTTTAATTGTAGGTATAAAATTTGGATAAACATCCACAGTGTATTAAACTGAAAATGCTTTGAAAAGGTAGTGAACAACGATTAGTAGGCTCTTACTTCGAATTCTGTCGCGTCCCGCTGTAAGCCACCGAGAGATCCTCAGCGTACTACCAAATCTCCAATGATTCGGATAGCCAACGTTTTTACTTTATAAGATCCAGCAATCTTTTGATCGCGGAGCTTTAGCTGAAAGCGTACCGATTGCCGGGTATTATACAAAGCAAATGGAGATCGCTACCAGTGATAAGTTGACGATTTCACGCGAAGGTTACCGATTAAATTTACAATTTACGATTGGATGCACTACCATCTCTAAGACAAGCGTTGCGAAAATGGTTTTATCTTGATCGTTATCATCGCGTCGAGTAACAAACACTGAGATGCTGTTCCAAGTTGGGACAAGTGTCAGTACTTTATTCTATTGTAGTAGACACAAAAACGTCGTTCGTAACGAACGACCATAAGCGCGGTAGATACCTTGACTTGCAACTAGTTAACGGTTCAGTGATTGTGCAATTCTGTTGTACGAAAGCGAAGTTTCCGTGATTAAACATTGACGACAAGTAAGTGAAAGTAATTCGCGACTAGGAGAACGTAACAGATTTTTATAACATTTCTTTCTGCTCCTTAGAACAGGAGTTAATATACTTACTTATTTACTTCGGTCTAGAGGTCACCAAACGCCATGTTGTACGGTCATAATTTACGAACGAAATTATGTTTTTGACGAACTTATTACTTTTAATTTCCGTAATATTGCTGCCTTTTATAAAACTATGTTTTATCTCACATTAATGGAACACGACGAAAATAATTCATCAGAATTTAAAGTTATAAAATACTTACGTACGAAACTAATTGATACTTTAAAGAACACATGAAATGACTAGTTCAACGGTTTAAAATTACGGCCTACACTTTCCATGTTATGTTTCGAAGATAATCGTCTGACAATCATGATAATTAAAAAAAAATATCGATAAAAATAGTCGATTAATTAATTATTAATGAGTGAATGAATTAATCTTAATTATTTTCAGAAGACTAATGTCTTACGTCGTACCATAAGAATAACAGAAATAAATAATGAGAGTGATCGTGATTATGTTAAGTTCGTTATGCATCTTGATGAAAACTGGAGAATGTGTCCAAGAATTGCAATTATTGCAGATCGTAAGAATCGAATTTTTCTCTCAACTACAATCATACAAAATGTGACTGTTCGTTAGAAGATTAATAAAGAACTAACAAAGATTTAATGATAATTTTCGAACGAATTTTTCAGATATTTGCTCATAAAACGTATGCTCCAATTTTCGATTTGATATACAACAACGATACCGATTTACCGAGCAGTTTAACTTATGAATATTTTAATACTGCTCCGCTCAGCATGCCCAAAGTGAGTCCGTTCGTTTCGTTAACGCGCATAAAATAAAGAACGCATTACTCGTACGAATTTCTTAGTAATAATTAACACTTTTAGAGTATCAATTTAAGAAATGATATTTAGCAACAATGTCCTTTAATTGTGTAACATCCATTTAACTATTTCTAAAACTTCTTACGATTAATAGTCTGTTACTAAAAGATTTTTAAATTCCGAATACGCTGAAGTGAAGTCTCTTATGTAACTTCAGATAAACTTTATTTAACAGACTGGCATGCTTAACATGTACAATCTAGGAGTTCATTTACGCGAAACGTACGATGAATTTTTGGGCGACGTTTATAAGAGCGATACGATGAAAATGCGAACGGCCGAGTATCCGCTATCGATGATCTCCGGTCAATTAGTGAATGCGGGTCTTTGGCCTCCGGCGGAAAATCAAAAATGGAGCACTGATATGAACTGGCAACCAATACCTACGGGTTGGTAAATAATAAAGTAGAAAAAAATACTCCGAAAGCTTTTTCGAATCGATCAATCCATAATTTGATTATCCCATTCTATGGGTCGAAACAACAGTTCGTTTTAGTCTCATCATAAAATTAATTATGATTTCCTATAAATATCTGCAGTCCAAGACATAAGTAGGCAAACCAATTTAGTAAAATTCGAAACAACTAATATTGTAGATTATGAGCTTATGCAGAAAGACGCATTGCTGCTCGGAACGCAGTGTCCACGATTTATTATCGAAATGAATAAAGTGTTGAGAATGGAACAGATGAGGGAACGATGGTCGGGTCATTTAAATATGTTCGATCACATCTCCCGGTCGACCGGAATGAAAATTCGGCAACCATCAGACGTGGCTCTCTTATACGCCGTCCTCGAAACGAAAGTTAATAACATATCTTTTATAACAAATGTGTTACTTCATTTCTACTCGTTGCGACACTGACGATATCGTTCCAGGCAGATCTGAATCAGTCGCTTCCGCAATGGGCGCAAGACATTTTCCCCGACGGAGGGATGTACAATATCTCGTTGTTAGAGTACGACCTCCTTTGGCAAACCTCGTTGCAGAAACAACTGAACGGGGGAACGATACTAAAAGAAGTGTTAGCGAACTCGCTGTCGTATATCGATAAAACGATCCCAAAGGAACGAAAGCTTATGATCTATAGTGGAAACGATAGAAATATCGTTGGCGTTTTGAAAGCGCTGAACTTGTGGTCGCCACACATTCCCAACGAGGCTGCATCCATTATTTTCGAATTATATTTCGACAGCGAAACAGGAGATCATGGAATCAAGGTTCCTATGTTTAATTTTCTAAAGACGTTAACAAATCTTATTATTAAAAAAAAAGAGATAATACATGTAATAAAGTAACAAAGACAAACATGTATTTTAAGATTTCATTATTAATAATTAAGTACTTTTTTATCATTACAGGTAAATTATTATACAGGAGTGTATGGTACAACTATCCCTTTGACAATACCGAATTGTACAGAGATCTGCCCTATTAAAACGTTTTTGTATTCGGTGATGGATGTGTTACCGCGGAACGCGGAGCAGTTATGTAACTGGCAGAAGATTAATCTCTCGGATACACATACAATAATGTTGGACAATATTATACACAATGGATCTGGTTCATTGACGAAAAGTGTTATTACGCTCATTATTTTATGGGTGATTATTATAACTGTGCAATAATTAATTTATATTTTCACTGTCACGAATCTCAAGATTTTTAATAAATAATCTCGGCGCTCTTCGTAAAATAACGCGTTGAATTCTCTGAGCGATCTACTATAGCTTTTAAATAATTTTTTATAAAATAGGATAGTCAAAAAGTTATGTATAAGGATAATTTTATTTCTACAGGCTATTTAAATTAATTAATATGTATGTCAAGTTTATGTAATAAAATATATTCGGCCAGTTACAGAATGCAAATTCATTCGTGTGTCAGAAAATTGACTAACTTTTTTGATTTTTTCGCAAAAAGTACGAAATTATCTGTGGCCTTCACCGTAAAATTACCTAAGATCATTAGCCATCTCTGCTCTCTTTGCCGTGCATTGTCTTCTAGTGTCGATCCTTCAAGACCCAACTGCTTTTTCCATAAATCAGTGACAGGTATTATCACTTCCTCTTCGTACTGATTCCATTTGTTAGGAACGACTGATCGATATTCTTCTAAACATAGTTTTAAAGCATAGAAAATAATATGCAAACGATGCGTTATATCGTACACATTGATTTCCGTGTTATTGTCCAGGGAACTTATGATATCCTCATGGCATTGTAATTTCTCAGTTAAATAATTTATAATTTCGACGCAAACTTTTGTAGAAGCGCAAAGTTGCGTAATAATGGAAATCTGATGGATTGATATTGTCGCCTATAGAGAAAAATATATACTTGTACAAACAGTCAGGTTTATCTTGTAATTTACTACTTCTCCAGAACCTACTTTATTCAACTGATCATTTTCCATAATCTTATCTAACAAACTTGTCACTGCGTGTATAATTTCGTTTGTACATTTCCTAGTTTTATCGTCAGCCTCGAAGACGCTGCGAAAATTCAGTATCTCGTTCACAGCTACTTCTTCTAAAGTATTCTTCCAACACCTTGTTCGCATGTATTGTCTACCTATCGTTTCATTTTGAAAAACCAAGAGTATTGTTCTCACAGACTGAAGGGCAACGTTGTCCGCGTTCAAAGTATCGAGCGTGAACTGTAACAAGTGCGAAGGAATTGTCATTTTCCTATTCCTTTTACATATCGGTAATTCGTGAGTTAATTTTTTTCTCTTCTTCTCCTGGCTCGTGGCTTTCTTGATTGAAATTTCTGGAGAAAACGACCTCATTTTATTCTTCTTCGTATACCTCGTTCCGTCTTCTAGTAAAAGAGTCTTAGAGCGTTGCAGATATTTATCTAAAGTTCGCTCTTCTTCAGTCGTGTCTACTACTTTTCCCGTGGAAGAAATCTTTGAATCCTTTATGTTCAAATTTTCATTATCTTGACGAGTATCATCGATATTTTCATAAGAAATAGTATTCATATTTTGTACGTATTTCGATGGTGGAAATCCGCTGGTAGTCACTTCATAGGTGTCATAGGCGCTGTCTATTTGATTACTATCATTATTTACCAAAAGCATATCTAGAGGAACTTGGGATAAGCAAATTCCCCTCGGAGGAGTTAATGAAACATGCTCAATCCCAGTTTGGTCAGAAAAATCACATTTATCTGACTCTTTATTATTCTTATCATATTTTATTGAACCGTTTGTTTGTTGGCACACTGAAGTCTCCCTAAAGATAGATTTTATAGATGAAGACTCTTCGTCTGTTTCCGGAATAATATAATTATCGAAAATTTTATTCCGTTGTACATCAATTTCTATTCTATCGAGAGACTCGGAAGAAGTAAACGCAGATAGATCACTGGAACTCCCCGAAATATTTCTAAAGATATCTGAAATATCCCGCCGCATGTCACTTTCTGTATCGAAATATTCGTCGAGATTTTCGAAAGAACTACAGGCAGACGGATCATTGATCTTCTGGGTAAAAACGGTGTTTTCCGACTTAATATTCCAACGAGATTTTGATATGTTATCTTCTTCACTACTCAGTTCGTTTATTCTTCCAGATATATCAAAAGTAGGTGAGACTTCAATTTCAGAAATCTCGTTTGTGTGCTCGCTGTCTCGACCAACTGACTTGTCATTATCAAGTTCAACATTTTTATCTACAAAATTTTTCAAAATCACATCGTTCAAGTCAGATTTTTTAATTTATATTTACTCAATCGCAATTATTTAAAGAAAGTACATGATAAATTTATGGTCTTCTTTATAAATTATATCCTTGTTAAAAATTTACTAGCATGATATTATTCCTGATTGAAAATTAATGTTTAAATATTGAATTTCATTACCTATATCACCATTGTTATTCCATTGTTTATGAAACACCAAATGAAATTGTTCTATCGAAATATTTTTCATAGATCTCGTGGCCGCTTTTAACCAGGCTATAGATTGCACAAAATTCAAATCGGCCACATACTCTTTGAAACAGTCCGATATTTTTTCACAGCTTTCGAGAAGATTTTGTGGTATATTTAAAATATTATTAAATTGGTCCTCAACTGTATTAACATTGCTACTATTTAATTCGTTTAATGTTTTCGTCGTCGTTTCCCGTAAAAGCCCATCACTAATAGGCGCATCATCATTTCTATCCATTACATGTATTTCTGCTGAATCGACATTCAAACCATCTGAACAATTATAATGATTCGAATTTTGTGCACATATACGCTGCAGTTCGGAAAGAATTGTGTTACGTTTTTCAATATGATATTCTGTTCTATCTCTATCAATGCCGCGCATCTAGAAAAGCATTATTTAGTCATAAAAATCACATATTTTAAGACTTTTATATAATATGATATCGACTATAAGTACGAAACGTTTCTAATGAAAGTACGGCGATAGACACCAAAAAGAAGTTAAAAAGAGTCAGTATCGAAAATTTTTGTACTGTTTGATAAATTAAATAAATGAAGTAATTATATCTACTGTTTACTTATGTAATACACCTGACGCTCTGTTTACACGATTTTAATTTCAAGTTACAATATTAAAGTTAAAGTTACACGGTTTCCGTTAACGCGATTTATTTAAAGTTCTGCTAATCAGTATTTGCATGACATTTTTACACGATTTTCTTTTACTCGGTTCCCTTTCACCGCGTCAGTGAACAAAAATTGATATAACAAGAAATTAGTTAGTT